CTGAGTTTTGAACGTCTTTTTCTTGATCCTTTCTGGCCATAGATAACCACCTGTCTCAGGGATAATCTGCTCAAAAACCTTCCATTTCACTCCTCACACCAAGAAGCTTTAGAAGTGTTCTTCCTTCTCCCGGAATGTCCCATGATGCATGATTCTAACAACTGGGAGAGCCTGGTGGTTCCGTTTGCAGAAACTATTTGTAAAATGAGTGACCAGTCTTCAGGGATTCTGGGTAGGATTTATGATTTACTTAAATGTACCTTGTCGTAGTGGAAAGACAAGCTCAGTAAAATTACGGCAAAACTTAGATATTAGAAATGGGTTCGAGTTGTTTCGTGCATGATCTCAGCATACTCTAAAGATGCTGTAACCGTGGTCATCTAAAATAAATCGTTCAAGTAATTTTTTAAGAGTTTTTGGGATAATACATGCATGACTTGGTCAGGAAATCCTTTGTCTCCAACTTTTCATTAGGAAAAATTTCACAGAAAGTTGAAAGAAAATGGAGGGGAGAAAGAGAAAGAGAAATCACCCCCCGGGGCAGAGTGGCCATAATGCACTCCTATCTCCATTCTCATGGGATTTGGGGCACACACGCACATGTGCCTGGTGTGATTTTTTAATCCACCAGGTCCAGGACTTGTACCACCCACTTGGCAATGTGGGATCCAGTTGCCCTAGCCGCCACACTACCTATTAGCCCCAAATCTAAACTTCTCATTGCGGTTGTATTTATTCACTGAAAAGTTTTTTACAAATGTGTTTTTGTAATTGTGATGCATATTAAAATACTGTCTTAAATGTTTGGGGAAATAGTGCCCACATTTTAAGCATCTAAGAGAAATTACATGCTAATAATTATATTTACCTTCCTTTGCATTCTTCAGAGGCATACTGGGCAACTCTACAAGAATCTGCTTTTAGCAAACTAGTCCAGATGTTTAAAAGAGCCGTCATCTCTCAGTTGCATTATTGGACTGAAAATGTTGAGAATAATTGTCGTATTAAAGCTCTCCTAGAAATGTTGAAAAGACTGCACAGGGTAAGAGTTCGTTTAGAACCTCTGCGTCTGTTCTTAACAACCACACCACCAGCTGGCCCGTGAGTAGTATTACTCAGCATCTTCACTGACTGAGGCCAAGGAGTCCATACGTGTGTGTGTGTGTGTGTGTGTGTGCAAGAGAGAGAGAGACTTCTAGAGAGAGATTTTTGCCGTAGGGCGTATGTGCTCGCTGGAGAGACAGAGACAGAAAGTTAGAAATCTCCACCCAGAGAGGGATGGTCATGCTGCATTTCCTTCTTATTTCTCCTCTCGGGATGTTGGACATGCACGCACACATGCCCATCCTGGGTTTTAAGCCACTGGGTCCGGAACTCGAACCATAGTCAACTATGTGGGAATCCAACGGTATAACCGTTATGCCATTTGCTGGTCCCAATAATAATTCTAATCATTTCATGGAAGGGAGGGGGCTGGAAAATTCCCCCACAGTCGGCGAGTGTTCCACATATGCTTTAGAACACCTAAAAGTGGTAGATCGCTAAGCTCTGAAGAACAAGACTTGAACAGCCAGGCCCCAGCATATTGCGGATTTGTTTTGCACTGTGTTTTCCCCTTTGGACTTCAACACGTTCCTATGAATTACAAGTAACTAGGAGTCTATCATCACATCACCATTCTGTACTATGGAACAGGTGTTCTTTATGCCCATGAAAATTTGGGGCTTTGGCAATGAAAGAATTGGGTAGAATTTTATTATGGTCTTTTTTTTTTTTTTTTTTTGGAGGGGTTTGCTATAGGGTGCATGCGCTCGCCAGAAAGAGAGAAAGTGAAAAATCACCCCCCAAGGGGATGGCCACGCCACAATCCCTTCTCCTCCCTTCTCCTCTACCGACCCTGCATACACATGTACCTGGCGAGAGTTTAAGCCACCAGGTACAGAACTCGAACTGCGGTCGACTACATGGGAGTCCAGCGACATAGCCATTACGCCAGCTGCTGGTCCTGAATTTTATTCTGGCCTTGAAAAAGTGTTTCACACTGTTTATGTTGCTTGAAACACTTAATTATTTAATTGCCGATGTGATGATGCCTATGGCCAAGATCAAATATAGCTAGGTTGGCTGGACTACTTATTAGTTTACCTAAACTATGGGAAGAAACATATTATTGTGTCATTCTGTTGTGTGTGTGTATGTGTATATATTATATACATATATATGTATATATATGTATATAAAGTTATTTTTTTCTTTTGGGTTAATTTATTATAAGTTGTAACACTTGGCTAGTTTTGTCTGTATATGTCTTAAAATATTTTCCTGTGATATTTAAGTGACAGTTAAAGAAGTATCAAGGTAACTTGCATGGAACATATTGTCATGTTCCTTGTGAATATTTTTTCTTACTGCACAGTAGAAAAATAAAAACAGCTGGGTCTTTAGAGTAATTCAGATTGGGGAAAACAAAACAGAGCTCAGGGGACAGAACGACAGAGGGAGCACTCTCCCACGTCCAGTGCACTGGTCATTGAGCCATGCTGGTGCTTTGTACCGTTATATATTTAAAAGCAAAACAAAACTACAAGGGTTCATGCTCTTCCCTGGGTAATAGAAACAGTTACTCACTATGCATAATCTAGTTGATTGTTAAATTTGCTATTGCTTTTCTTGTCTGGTTATATAAAATCTTTTCAATACAAGCTTAGTCTTAATGATAATAAAACATTATGGTTATTTATTGAAAAAGTAAAAATAAAAGCGTTTCATTGATCTAGGTAACAGTCATTAAGCAAAACTGTCTTTCAGTGGAAAAGTTTCTCACCGGTCGTATTTTATTTAAAGTAAACCAGACTAAGCGTCCACTGTTTTACTTAGATAAACCAGACTAAGTGTCTGCTGCCTCCAAGTGTTTTTGCAGTGAGTGAACTCTCGAACTGGCTCAATTTTTATGGGGAAGCATATAGGAGAGCCTCTTGGAAAGTGACGCTGGTAAGTGTGGCATGTTTAAAGGGTTTGGGAAATGATAGTATGGAGAGGCATTTCTGCTCTTTCTCCATACGTTTCAGACACGCCTTGTACTCTGCAAAATTGCACAGTAGAAATAGCAAGACTGAAGGGAAAAGTAAGATTTCCTCAAAACCTATGCAGTTTTGTAGCCAGAGCACCAGCAGAAAAGCGACTGATCCGTGGGGGGATAAAGTGGGTCACCCAGGCAAGCAGCTCACAGCAGGTGCTAGGAGAATATGGAAAATGTGCAGAAAGACACAGGATAGCAGTCTGCCCACGTTCTAACTAGAGAAGGGCTGGTGGTACTCAGACATCACAGGTGGCTGTGCAATGCTGATGCCTTGTAGGTGCCCAAAGAGGCAGACGTGCGACCCAGCAGGGGCCAGGAGCTGGTAGCAGAGGGCTGTGGCTTTGGGGAAGTGTCTGGGTGTAGGCAGGTGCCCATTTCTCATGTTCTTAAAATGCGGTTAGAGGGCTCCTGCTGCTGATGGAGCTGCTGAGCCGAGGTGGCTTTTCCTTCCTCTGTCAGCTATCATTTTACTCCTTGTAGCCCAGCGGCCCTTGTCTGGCAAAAATCATGTCCGAGCTAGCCAGCAATCCGCATTACATCATTCTCCCGGCTCCCAAGTGCATCTGAGCTTGTTTCACATCGTAGAGACTCAGATCATAGCAGAACAGACTCTTTGGCAAAGTGTCCAGAATTTATAATTAATTGTTCACTTATGTGGACATCGAAAACATTAGGTTTATACACCTTCCTGGCTACATGTAAGGTCGTCTCTACAGCTGGTACTCCCAGCCAGCAATTCAGATTGCTCTTGTTGGAAGTACTGAGGCCTTAAGCCATCAGGAATTTGAAGCTGTGAGGTCGAGTGTAAGATTCTCTGTCCTTTAATTTATCAGAGTTGTCACTTCCATTTTCAGGACACTTCAGCGGACATAGAGTATTGTGTCATATTCAGTCACTTTCCATTTGTCTTTAATATTCTGTCAAAAATTAAACTACTATATGCAGACTCCCTTTTAAAAATACAGGTATGTATGCCTATTGCTTTGTCTTTATTAACATAAAGCATGTAATACTGATATATGTCCTTAAAGATCCTCTCACATAATGAATTTACCATAATAAAAGAAAATAGAAAATGGATGTATGAGTTCTAAGTAAAACCATTCATGTAAAATTTAACAAGGAAAATTTAGAGACACAAAAACTTTGTTTTGCTTCCACGAGTATAACTTGTTCTCTCTCAATTTTGAATGGCTTCCAGTGCCAATTTTATAGAAGTGGTAGTAGACTATTCTTTGTTGTGCCGAGACCCACAGACTCAAATGACCCCAGGTTGCCGTTTGGTTTCAGTGTGGGCATGCTGTCTGTCTCCCCTTCTCCTTTTCTGCCCCTGTCTTATAATAACTTCTTAGAGATTAACTAGCTCTTAAATGTCCTGTCTAGGTTTCCCTTCTAGAATGGGGTATCTTTGGAGAGGTCTCTCTTCCTTGGACTTTTTTTGTGGCCTGCTGCTTTGCTAAACCTGTGAATGCATCTTTTGAGTGAGAATGTTAAGTTATAGTGCATGGTCTCAGTGGGTACCAGTGGGTCCTGTAGCCTGTCAGTGCTATTGAGCTTCGGTGACGTCAGCATTAGGAGCCGTTCAGAGGGTAAGATGTTCAGCAAGACCTAAGTTGGTCATGCACCTGTTTATCCAGGTCAGCTGCATGCAGTGTTCCGTTGCTCAGATCCCGTGTTTCTTCCACTCACCGTGAGTGAATACTAGATACATTGCTATCTCCAGTGGCTCTTTTTATAAAACATGATATATACTTACAGACGGTACCAGTTTATTCCATTCTATAAATTTCTATTAAGAAGAATGGCAAAATGAGGTGAAACATTGCTGTTTTCCTAGGAAAAAAAAGCTCAAGCTTATTTGAGGTTGGCTGGACTTTTGGAACATGGAGAGTCTGAATTAGATTTGCTGCCCACCTTTAATCTAAAAGTCAGACGGAACCACTTGATTGAGGATGTTTTGAATCAGCTAAGTCAATTTGAGAAGGAAGACCTGCGGAGAGAGTTATGGGTAAAATTTAATTTTCTTTTTTTTTTTTTTAATTTGCTACAGGGCACATGCACTTGCCAGAGGGAGACATGGGGAGAAAGAAAGAGAAAGGAAAAGTGAGAAATCACCCCCCAGGAGCCATGCACAGTCCCTTCTCCATTTTCCTTTTAGGATTTTGGGCACACATGAACACATGTCTGGCATGACTTGCAAGCTGCCAGGTCTGGGACTCACACTGCATAGTCGACCATGTAGGATCCAGCCACCTTAACCTCCCCACCACCTTCTGGCCTTTCCCTTAATATTTTTGCTGCTGCATTCCAGTCCATTATGTTATTCATGAGAGAAATGTTAATACCCATGTCTGGGTAACTTATAAAAACAGAGGTTTATTTAGCTCACAGTTTGGAAGGCCCAAGTGCCGCAAGTATCACATAGGAACGAGAGAGCAACAGTCTGTGCATGTATCTGTCTCCTCTGTCTCCTCGTAAACCCACAGCGTAGAACGTGCTGGCCTACCCTGATGACCTTAATCCTAATCAGCTCCCGGAGGCTCCACCTCGTCGTCCCACAGTGCGATTAATACCAGCACCACCGAATTTCCTCATGTGAATTTTTGGAGGATACATTTGAACGATAGTGTTTTTGGGAAAAGAAAATAAAAGGATATCACAAAGGGTCTCATAGAGGAGAGAGCTTCCTTTGTCACAGAAGTGGTCTGTTTTGAGCTTTCCCTAGTTCACTGGTCACCTCTGAGTAACACAGCTGACATTTTCTCAAGCCAGCTCTGCTGCTCGGAACCTGCAGGCCATATGGCCTCCAGCCTTGCTGGGCACTTGGTTACCAACTGCACCAGAGCAGCTAGGCCCAGCTTATTGAAAGTGCCAGTGGTCATGATTTCTTTCTATTTATTTTCATCATACTTAATGGACCCAATGACCATAAAAGCGATGCCAGTTGAGGTCAGTGTAGTGTAAAGGCTCTGGAGCTTGACAGGATTAAATCAAGGCTGTGCTGCCTACCTATTGCATAAATTTAGGGGAGTTATTTAAATTCTCGAGGCCTTATGTACCTTCATAGAATTAATGGCGAGATATGATAATATGAGTACGTTGCTTACCACAGTGTCTACCAGATGTTCGGGTGCATGAGTAATGTGAGCTATTTCATTATTAAATGAGACTTTATAGATAGCAACATAGAGCCCTGGAAGTGATGCGGCATTTGCTGTTTCCTCAGGTTTCATTTAGTGGAGAAATTGGCTATGACTTCGGAGGAGTCAGAACGGAGTTCTTCTACTGCCTGTTTGGAGAGATGACCCGGCCAGAATACGGGATGTTCACATATCCTGAAGAGGCTTCCTACATGTGGTTTCCTGCCAAGGTAAGTCCTCTTTTCTTTATAATGTTTCGTCACAGAAGTACATCATACACCATAGAAAATTAGGTCATGTGTACTGTTCTATGTTAGGAAAGGAGTTATTACTGATGTCAGTGTGGACATAATCTTCACTTCCACTAAGGTGGTCATTTCCATTGAAATGGAGTCTGCTTTCCCTGGGTTCCTCGTCTCTCCATACAAGACGGTGTGAGCAATTTATTGACCATTTCTGGACTACCTGGACAAAAGTGAACCCTTCTTTTCTCAGGCACTCATTCTTTGTTTCCGTTTTGTTTTTCTCAATGAATTTGAAGACAAAAGCTATGGGAAGAAAGCTACGTGAAAACTAGTGTGTAAGGACTACTGAACTCAGTATGTTTTTATTCCTGTTAGACTTTCAGTAACAAAAACCATGGCAAATATTTAAATTGACTTCATGATGGGAAATAAACCTTAAATATTACTATTTAAGCTTTTTTGGTTTTAATTTGTGATTTCATTTTATGAAAGGAGAAGACAGGTTTACCTAATAGAACTATTCTGTTGTACTGATAAGAACGTGTAATATGTTAAGATTTACTTTTTCTGTCTTCAGCCTAAATTTGAGGAGAAAAGGTACTTCTTCTTTGGGATTCTTTGTGGACTTTCTCTATTTAATTGCAATGTTGCCAACATCCCTTTCCCACTGGCACTGTTTAAGAAACTTTTGGACCAGATACCGTCATTGGAAGACTTAAAAGAACTTAGTCCTGTTTTGGGAAAGTAAGTAAATGTAGTTTTTTTCTCAGGGCCCTGTCTAACAGAGTGAGTCAACGGGAAAGTCATGATACTTTTTTTGTGTTAAAAAACAAACAAACAAACAAAAAAAAACAGAAAAGTACGTCATGACTTTCCCAACAACCTAATATAGTTAGATGAATATTTAAATACACATACCTTGGAACCAGCAGGTGGTCTGGTGGTTAAGGTGCTGGACTCCCACATGGCTGACCATGGTTCGAGTCCCGGACCTGGAGGCTTGCTTTCCTACTTTCTCTTTTCCTCTTTCAACAGAGAAATTTGGTCAAGTTAAACAAATAATAGTGATAATAAATGAAATAAAATAATTCTCTTGGGAACCAGCAGTTAGCATAATGGCTATGTCACTGGACTCCCATGTAGTCTACCACGGTCGTATCCCGGACCCAGTGGCTTAAAACCCACGCCGGGCTCGTGTGCGTGTGTGCCCAAGATCCTGAGAGGAGAATGGAGAAGAAGGGATTGCGGCATGACCATCCCCCCTAGGAGGTGATTTCTCGCTTTCTGTCTCTATGTCTCTCTCTGTCTGGCGAGCGCATGCACCCTGTAATGAAAAAACCTCTCCAAAAATAAAAATTATTTTAAAATAAATAAATACACATACCTCACTGATAGCTTCATGTTCAACTGTAGCATTTTAGATATCATAAACTAATTTTAACTTTGGCAAAAATTACTGAATAATTATAGTTTCATTTTCTGATATTAAGAGGTGATTGTTCCTATGGCTGTCTCAATGTTTGAGACAATGTTTGCATTAAATCTTTGAACTTTTCCTGCATAGAAACTGTCATGAACAGAGCATAGGTTACAGTGTGGTATAAAATCTGCCAGTGATACTTAATTAAATATTATTTATGTCTTTAAAGTGGAAACTATTGTTAAATGCTGGTTTATGTCTTTAAAGTGGAAGCTATTTTCTAAAAGGCAAGCTACCACCTTGCAAAATATTGGAAACATATTCAGTGGAAAAAGTTCACATCCATGCTGTGTGATACAGCATGGATGTGCACATACATGTGACAAAGTATCCAAAAAGAGCACTCACAAAAATAGCAGTAGAACTGGCTCATAAGTACAGAGATCCTCTTGGCCAGCCCTTAGTGGACCTGGTAAGCTCTGTACACAGGCAGCTGACCCCACATGGTTGACCGCAGTTCGAGTCCTGGCCACAGTGGTTTGAAAAACGTACTGGGCATGTGTGCACGCATACCCCAGATCCTATATAAAGTGGCAGAGGAGTTGGCTGAATTATGTTTGTGCTCCAGTGTTTTGAGGAAGGTAGAACTTAACATTGAATTTAGCAAAAGAAATCTCTAGTGTTGAAGAGGCAGCATGACTTCTCTTCACAGTTTATGATAAAATTCAAGAAAATGATTTAAAAATGGAATTTTTTAAAGAAAGATTTTTGTTATAGGTAGGGCATGTGTACTCACCAGGGAGACAGAGAGAGAAAATGAGGAATCACCCCTCAGGGGAGATGGCCATGCCACAATCTCTTTTCCATTTTCCCCTTGGGACTTTGGGCATGCTTGCATACATGACATTTGTTTTATTTTATTTGTTTTTAGTTTACTAGAGGGGGAGAGTGAGAGAAAAGGAGGAAGCAATCCCAGTGGGGTGTGGTCATGCTGCAGCTCCTTTTCTATTTTTTCCTTCTTCAGGATTTTGGACATGTGTACACATGCATGTGTGCATACACATGTGCTTGGCATGTTTTTCAAGCTGCCTGGTCCAGGATTTAAACTGCGCAACTGGCCATATGGGATCCGGCTCCTTAACCACTGGCCATGGGGCTAGACCACCATTTATTTTAGATGGTATATAATTATTTTAGTGGTTGTGATTGTTTCCCTCTTAAAAATGGAATTAATTTGTCTTTTTTAGGAGTTTGCAAACACTTCTGGATGATGAGAGTGATGACTTTGCAGAAGTCTTTTATATCCATTTTAATGTGAGTAACAATAAAAACCAGATAGCAGATCAACTTTCATCTGATTAAGTCTACATACTTACCTAAACATGTCCATTTTTCCAGCACAAATGAAGAAACAAAAAACTTCTAAATTAAGCTAATGGAAAAGGTTTTTTTTTTTTTTTTTCTCATCATAAGCTGGGTGCATCAGTTAGATTTTACTGTGTAACAACTAGTCCCAAAACATAATTGCTTAAAACAACACACATGGCGGCCAGTAGATGACCCAGTGGTTACGTCTCTGGATTAACTATGATTTAAGTCCTGTACTTGGTGGCTTAAAACTCACGCTGGGCATGTGTGTGTGTATGTGCCCAAAATCCTAAGAGGAGAATAGAAGAAAGGGATTGCGGCATGGCCATTGCCCCTGGGGAGTAATTTCTTGCTTTCTGTCTCTCTGTCTCTCTGGTGAAGCACATATACCCTACAGTGAATATCTCTCTAAAACAACATGATTCTGTGGCTTTTGGAACTGGGCTGACTCAGCTGCGCTGGTCTCCAGTAACTCACATACCTGGTTCTTGGCAGGCCTGTGGGTTCATGGGCTGTCAGTGGAGCAGCTTGTATCTGTTCCACATGTGGTGGTTTTAGGGTTACAGAGAGTAGGATGAGATGACAGGACCCAAGGCACAAGCTTCTTTATGCATCTGCTTTCATCAGATCCCATTGGCTGAAGCACTCCACATGACCATGTCCAGATCAAGGGCTGAAGCTTCTAGGTAGACTCCCCTCTTCCTTTTTATAAAGAATTATTTATTCCATTTTATTTATTGTTAGTATTTAATTTGCTATAGGACCATGTGTGCTCACCAGAGACAGAGACAAAGCCACTACTTCTGGGACTTGAACTGCAGTTGGCCACATGGGAGTCTAGCACCTTAACCGCCAACGCGAGATGTCACATTGCAAAGGGAGTAAAAACTCAGGAGGAGTTCATAGCTCTTATTGCAGATCTGTCATGCTGAGTCTGTACTCTAAAATGAATAACAAGATGTGGCGATTTTCCAGGTAGTTTGTTTAATATGATCAGGTTAAAATTATAAAAATAAAAATCTGTTTTTCATTCTGCAGGATAGGGTGATAATGTTTGGTTGGTACATTTTTTGCTAGTTTTTATGAGGAAAATATCTATCTTTTCAAATTCTTCCTAAAAGAGGTACATTCCAAAATGTTTTTGTTGCTCATTGTTCAGAATTATTTCGATGATGATGAATTTATTTGTGGCTGCAGGTGCGTTGGGACAGAAATGATGTAGACTTGATTCCCGACGGAAGTTGCATTATTGTTGACCAGACTAACAAGTAGGTACAAAGGAATGAACTGTTTGGTTTGTGTATAACTGTTTGGTTTGTGTATTGTTTTCTGGGCTCTAAAATTCCTTTTAGTTCTTACGGTTTTTCATCGCCATTACCCATTTTCTCCATAAGGCAGAGGTGTGAGTTTTACACATGTGGACATAACACGCATGGGGTGTGTGTCATGGTAGGCATGGACATGGCTTTCTCAGAGAGACCGTTCCTTTTCTTCTGTACCCTTTTCACCTCTCACTCTGCTTTACTCTTTCTTCTCCCCTCATACACCATCTCCCTGTGGGGTTACGTGTGTATTTCTTTTTAACGTCTTCTCCGCCCTAAGGAGAGCTGCACAGGGGCAGGGACCTGGTCTGTACTCTGCACCACCGTGTACCCAGAGCCTTCAGTCGTTCTGCACTGCCCCCAGTACGAAGCAGGCACACGTTTGTTGAAGAAGTTGCTATCTGTGTAGCTTGACTTCCAGTACCTTTTAAAAAATTTTATTATTATTTATTTATTTACTTATCTTTTAGTTTTTTTTTTTTTTTTTTGGTTTTGCATAGGGTGCATGTGCTCACCAGAGAGAGAGAGAGAGGAAAAGTGAGACAAGTTGCCCTTCAGGTGGGTTGGCCACGCTGCAGTCTCTCCTCCATCCTCCTCTCAGCATTTTGGGCATGCACATGTGCTCAGCGTGATTTTCAAGCCACCATGCCCAGGATTTGCACCATGATCGGCCACGTGGGAGTCCAACCACCACTCTACCTGCTGCCCCCCCCCCAGCACCTTCTAAAGCCATAGGATCTTGGGATAGGTGATATCCCAACTAGCCCACGGTAGTTGGGGAAAGTGACGGAGATCCCTCTCCATGAATCTCACAAAGTGGATACACCTCTGTTATTACCAACCAGATCAAGAAATGAAACACATCCAGTTGTGAGGTTGTGTATTGTAGGAAGAGAGTACAGCTCACGTTTCTGTAGCATTATTGGCATATACACATTTTGACTTCGGGCTGTTATGGATAATGTTTCTGTGAACATTCTTGTACATGTTTTTTGTTGCTTATGTGCATCCATTCTGTTGGTCTCTAACTGGGAGAATTGCTGGGTGTCCTGTGATTGACCCGGGCCAGGCAGGGTCAGTCCTTCCACCCCACATTGGTCTGGATGTTGATGTGATGATGTCACACACTGAAATAAGCCAATCTTTATAACTCACACAGGGAGCCTATCTGGGGAGAGCTGGGCAGGCACCCACACTTCTCTGTTTGGGTTAAGTGAAGGAAGAGGCAGGTGGCATTGGTTTTTATGGTGGCTTAAGCATGAGGCCAGGATGAGGGCTCCCATGCAGTGCAGAACTTGCTTGGTTTAAACTTCCCCACTGGTGCCAAGGGAGAGAGCATGTGGGCTTTTTATTCAGTTACACAGACTTGGGGGAGCAGGGAGATTAGACCTGATGGCTGGCAGTAAGCAGGCATCAGAAGTGGGAGTGGAATTCCATCAGCAGGAGGGTTCTGAAGGCTTCTGATCCCCTCTCACCCTGCTATTGCTCATCTTAAATTTAACCATTCTGCTGGGCACATAGCAGTTCTTCATTGTGGTTTCAGTTTGCGTTTTTCTGATGACTTAAGGTGAGGCATCATCTACACTACTGGCCTGTAGACATTCTCTTTGGAGAAATTCTCATCTTTAGTCTCTTTTTCTTTTCTTTTTTTTTGCAAAGCAGCCGATACCATTGTGTCTAACTGATGTAAATAACCATTCTGCCACAAAATAAGAATAGTCACAAATATTTTCCAATTGCAGTTTTAAAACAAAGAATTTAACAAATTGCTGAACCTATCAACAACTCAAAAGAAAACCAAAGTCCTTAAATCTGGAAAGACAAAGCATAGAGGAAAATCAGTAATGTTTTAGTCAAAAGTCTTAGGCTCTATTCATTTTCAGTCTCTTTTTCTGTTAGGCTCTTTTTCTTCTTGGTTTATAGGAGTTCTAGACACACGTCCTTTGTTGGATGTATGTGCTGCCAAGATCTTCTCCTGTATTGTGGCTTGCATTTGTGTGTGTGTGTGTGTGTGTGTGTTTGGTATAGGGCATGTATGCTTACTGGAAAGAGAGAGGGAAAGTGAGAAATCACCCCCTAGCGGGTATGGGTATGCGCCAGTTCTTTCTCCCTCATTCACCTCTCAAGATATTTTTGTAAAGACTTATTTAATTTTACTATTATTTTAAAAATTTCCTATAGGGCATGTGCACTCAGAGAGAGAAAGAAGGAGAGAGGGAGAGAGGGAAAGTGAGAAAGCAGGCCATCAGGTCTGGGACTTGAACAGAACTCACCGACGTGGGAATCCAGTGCCTTAACCACTGTGCCACCTGCTGACCCTCTTCTCGGGATTTTGGGCACTCATGTACACATACTTGGCATGATTTTCAAGTCACCAGGTCCAGGACTTAAACTGCAGTCGGCGAGGTGGAAATCTAGCGCCTTAACCCCCATACCTCCTGGCTCCTATTATGTTCCATGAAAAAAATCCTTCCTATCCCCAAACCATAAATATATTCCTCTGTATTTTCTGTTTTATTGTTTTATTTCTCACATGTAGACTGTCAGTGCACCTGTAATGGATATTTTTTAAATGCCAGGGCAAGTGCATGCACACACATGCAGGAAAGCGTGCACATGCAAGAATGAGCATTACCCGGTGGGGCTGGACACACCACAGACCTCTTTCCTTCCTTTCTCCATCCCACCGTACCCTGGGCACGTGTGTGCAGGTGTGTTTTTCAAGTTGATATGACTAGGACCCAAGTCCTGGTTGGCCATGTGAGATTTCACTTCCTCTGCACAAGCTTACCTGCTGCATCACAGGGCAGGTACATCGGCAAACGCCTCAGAGGAAAAACTGCGAGAGAAATGTTGTGCTCGCCTCAGGAAGCTTCCCTTTCTACGTGGTGGTCATCTCTTCAGTCTTCACCGAGATTTGGAGATTTCTTGAGCCATAGTGTTTCCAACATTGAATCTGACCTTTCTGACTCTCAGTAGGAGCACTCGTCTGCCATAAGCTGCTGCTTCCTAGATAGAAATGGAAATCTGCTCTTCATTGGGGTTGAACTACCAGTAATAGTAGTTGCTTAATGTAACAAGTTCGTTTTTTTTTAAAACGAATGATTTTAATGAACATTTATTTATTTATTAATTTAATTTAATGTGATCAGAGTGGGAAAAAGTGAGAGGGCAAGTGCAAGAGGGAAAGTGAAAAAACAAGCCTCCAGGTCCGGGACTCGAACCATAGTCAGCCATGTGGGAGTCCAGCACCCTAACCACCATGCCACTTGCTGGCCCTGCTGTGACAAGTTCTGATAATTCACACAAGTACTAAACATGAACTTTATGCCATCTCTGGGGCCTGTTCCCCACAGATGAATCACTGATAGCAATTCATTTTTGATGATTCCAAACTTTTACTGTTTATAAAAGTTGACTTTCTTTACAGTATCTGTTTCTTAATGACACTGTTTATACTGTAAGAATCTGGCTATGACAGTTAAATTAGATGTTATATGTAGAGTAACCATAACACTGTGGCACACGGTATGTACTCAGTAACTGTTGGTGTGCTAGCTTTGCATTTCATCTCCCAAGCATTTTGTTCAGGGTATTGTAGTCAGTGGAAATTATTTATTGTTTTATTACAGGAGAGACTATGTTTCGAAGTATGTCGATTACATCTTCAACATCTCTGTCAAGGGGGTTTATGAAGAATTTCAGAGAGGATTTTATAAAGTGTGTGACAAGGAGATTATCAAATTTTTCTATCCCGAAGAACTGAAGGACGTGATTGTTGGCAATACAGATTATGACTGGGAAACATTTGAAAAGGTACATCATAAAGAATAAGTTGATTGAGGGGCTAGCAGGTGGCGTAGTGGTTGTGGCACTGGACTCCCACATAGCCAACCGCAGTTCGAGTCCTGGATTTGGTGGCTCAAAACTCAAGCTGGACACGTGGGTGTGTGTGCCCAAAATTCAGAGAGGAGAATGGAGAAGGGATTGTGGCATGGCCATCCATCCCCCGGGAGGTAGTTCTCATGTTCTCTGTCCCTTTGTGTTTGGTGAGTGCATGCACCCAGTTGCAAAAATCTCTGTTAAAAAAAAATGAGTTGATTGAATACAATTTTCCTTCCTATTTCTTAAGTAATTTTTGTGTTCTTCTAGAATGCATGCTATGAACAAGGATACAATAGTTCCCATCCCACCATAGTGATGTTTTGGGAAGCTTTACACAAATTGACTCTGGAGGAAAAGAAAAAGTTCCTTGGTAAGTATTACGTCAAGTAATTGATGTATAATCTTTTTTAAAATCTGCTATAGGGCATGTGCACTCACCAGAAAGAGACAGAGAGAGAAGAAAAGTGAGAAACCACTCTCCAGAAGGAATGACCATCCCACAATCCCTTCTCCATTCTCCTCTCAGTATTCTTGTCACCTGTATACATGCACCTCGTGTTTTTCAAGCTGCTAGGACCAGGCCTCACATCAGGTATTAGGTTATGTGGGATCCAGCTGCCTTAACCACCATGCTGCTAACTGGCCCTAGGTCTCTAGTCATATGCCCTTTATTTTTTTACAAGTGTTGTGTGTGTGTGTTTCATGACAGAGAGCAATAGAGAAGTTCCCTGAACAGGGTCTCACACCACGCTCCCAACCAACCAGCATCATGAGGATTCATGCCTGGCACATAAGAGCCAATGAGGGGGATTGGCAGGTGGCATGGTGGTTGAAGTACTGGACTCCGACATGGCCGACCATGTAGAGTACCAGATCTGGCAGCTTGCTTTCTCACTACCCCTCTCCCCTCTCTCTCTGGTCAAAAATTAAAATAAACAATTCTTTTAAAAAAAAGCAAGTAGGAACCAAAGTCAGTCTTCCATGTGGACCCAGCAACCATCGAGTAGTGTGTACCACTGCGTGCCCCTCGCAGCAGATCATACACGGTCTCAGAGCCTCTCCTAGTCCAGCTAAAGGTCCTCTGTACCCCTGTATCAGAAAGCAATAGGGGGGACCAGCAGTTAGCATAATGGCTATGTCGCTGGACTCCCTTTGTAGTCAACCGCGGTTCGCGTCCTGGACCCGGTGGCTTAAAAACTCATGCCGAGCATGTGTGCGTGCGTGCCCAAGATCCCAAGAGGAGAATGGAGGAGAAGGGATTGCGGCATGGCCATCCCCCCTGGGAGGTGATTTCTCACTTTCTGTCTCTCCGGCATGGCCCCCTGGGAGGTGATTTCTCACTTTCTGTCTCTCTGTCTGTCTCTGTCTGTCTGGTGAGCGCACGTGCCCTATAGCAAAAAAAAAAAAAGCAACAGGGCAGCAGTAAAGCTCTGTGCATATGCAGCCAGACCCCGCCCCGCCAACCGCAGTTCACATCCTGGCCCCAGCATCTTGAAACACTCTCCAGGCTTGGTGCGTGCGTGCCCCAAATCTCAGGGGGCTGGAGAGGTGGACAGGGGCTGGCAGCATGACCAGGCCTCTAGCAGAGTGCTTGCTCTCTCTCATGGTCTTGTTCTCCTCCTTACCGGCATTCTTGCCTTCTGGCACTTGGAAAAAAAATTCCAAAAATAGCCACATGGTCATCGGAGACCTTTTCCTGTGTGGTTTCATCCCTGCGTATTGCTTTTTTCTTTTTCTTCCTTTCTTCATCCACGCTAAATACACACTTCTGTGTTCCCTGTCGTAATTCAGTTATCCAGGCCTTGTGGGATTAGTCAAGGTATTTTATTTGACTAATTTTCACCGTTGCTAGATTCTTATTACTGTTGGGTCGTCAGAAAAGTCAACGCCTATTTGACATCATGACTTCTATGACCTAGCAGGTCTGCTGTTACTGTACGTGCTGTTGTACCTGTGTCTTCAGGTCTGTTTTACCTCTTTCCACATTTCGATCTCTATTAAATACTTACCTGGTGGTTTTCCCGAGACTGGCTTAATGATTTTTTCTCTCATTTTCTATTTTTTTTCTTCGATGCCAGAGGGCACATATGAAAGAGCACCCATGCCCCCCAGCGAGGCTGGTCTACCTTGGTTCTCCCCTCCCCCCTTGGCTCTCCATCCCATCAGGATTCTTAGCAGACTTGCACCCAGCGTGTTTTTCAGGTTGCCGGGGCCAGGACTCGAGCCCCTGGGAACTTGTGGGATCTGGCCTTTTCTGTGCAGCACCTGACCTCTGTACCATGGGGCCAGCCTGCTCCACTTTCTTACATACACATTTGCCTTGTTTTTCTAACCTGCGTGTTAGAAGACACTGGGTTGTCCGAAAAGTCATGATGTGCGTTTTCTGTTTTTCTATGCAAGAAATGGTCATGACTTCTCCGATGACCCGGTATTAGGATGTACACAGAAGCCCATCCTACCTTTCCAGTCTTCACTCGTAGCAGGAACCCTCGTGCCAAACGGTCCCGTCGTCTGTGCATGCCAGGGCTCACTGCGTACCTTCCCACTCCAGGCTTCCTCGGGCTTCTTCCTCTGCCTCCAATGTCACCCACCTCCTGCAGCCTCTGAAACCTTCCTCTCCTTGAAGATGTGGCGTTAATTCTTAACTCTTGGTCCTTTCCTGCCATGCCAGTCTGACTCGCTTCCTCTGCTTGGAGGTGCTTAACTCCATGGTATCTTTCCTTACTATCTTATACCATAAACATTTTTTATTTTTTTTCCTTCTTTTTAAAAAATCTTTTTTATTGCTGGGGGAGTGTGTGCTCATGAGAAAGAGAACCCCCCCAGTGGGGGCTTAGTTTACTGCAGTCCTTTTTCCTCCATCCCGCTGTCCCGGCAGGATTTGGGGCATGCGTGCACACGTGCACCTGCCATCTTAGACATTTTCTTGCTGTGTGTCCTCTTCTGCACAAGACGGATACTCCCAGCCAGATGTTAAGCTGTTGGAGGGTGGTGACTGTGTGTCAGTTGTGTTCTTCTAGAATGCATGCTATGAACAAGGATACAATAGTTCCCATCCCACCATAGTGATGTTTTGGGAAGCTTTACACAAATTGACTCTGGAGGAAAAGAAAAAGTTCCTTGGTAAGTATTACGTCAAGTAATTGATGTATAATCTTTTTTAAAATCTGCTATAGGGCATGTGCACTCACCAGAAAGAGACAGAGAGAGAAGAAAAGTGAGAAACCACTCTCCAGAAGGAATGACCATCCCACAATCCCTTCTCCATTCTCCTCTCAGTATTCTTGTCACCTGTATACATGCACCTCGTGTTTTTCAAGCTGCTAGGACCAGGCCTCACATCAGGTATTAGGTTATGTGGGATCCAGCTGCCTTAACCACCATGCTGCTAACTGGCCCTAGGTCTCTAGTCATATGCCCTTTATTTTTTTACAAGTGTTGTGTGTGTGTGTTTCATGACAGAGAGCAATAGAGAAGTTCCCTGAACAGGGTCTCACACCACGCTCCCAACCAACCAGCATCATGAGGATTCATGCCTGGCACATAAGAGCCAATGAGGGGGATTGGCAGGTGGCATGGTGGTTGAAGTACTGGACTCCGACATGGCCGACCATGTAGAGTACCAGATCTGGCAGCTTGCTTTCTCACTACCCCTCTCCCCTCTCTCTCTGGTCAAAAATTAAAATAAACAATTCTTTTAAAAAAAAGCAAGTAGGAACCAAAGTCACAGTCTTCCATGTGGACCCAGCAACCATCGAGTAGTGTGTACCACTGCTCCACCAAAACCAGCGTCTTTTCAGGAAGATAAAAATCTTGTTTGTGACAGGTGCCACTCGCAGCAGATCATACACGGTCTCAGAGCCTCTCCTAGTCCAGCTAAAGGTCCTCTGTACCCCTGTATCAGAAAGCAATAGGGGGGACCAGCAGTTAGCATAATGGCTATGTCGCTGGACTCCCTTTGTAGTCAACCGCGGTTCGCGTCCTGGACCCGGTGGCTTAAAAACTCATGCCGAGCATGTGTGCGTGCGTGCCCAAGATCCCAAGAGGAGAATGGAGGAGAAGGGATTGCGGCATGGCCATCCCCCCTGGGAGGTGATTTCTCACTTTCTGTCTCTCTGTCTGTCTCTGTCTGTCTGGTGAGCGCACGTGCCCTATAGCAAAAATCTCTTCCAAAAAAAAAAAAGCAACAGGGCAGCAGTAAAGCTCTGTGCATATGCAGCCAGACCCCGCCCCGCCAACCGCAGTTCACATCCTGGCCCCAGCATCTTGAAACACTCTCCAGGCTTGGTGCGTGCGTGCCCCAAATCTCAGGGGGCTGGAGAGGTGGACAGGGGCTGGCAGCATGACCAGGCCTCTAGCAGAGTGCTTGCTCTCTCTCATGGTCTTGTTCTCCTCCTTACCGGCATTCTTGCCTTCTGGCACTTGGAAAAAAAATTCCAAAAATAGCCACATGGTCATCGGAGACCTTTTCCTGTGTGGTTTCATCCCTGCGTATTGCTTTTTTCTTTTTCTTCCTTTCTTCATCCACGCTAAATACACACTTCTGTGTTCCCTGTCGTAATTCAGTTATCCAGGCCTTGTGGGATTAGTCAAGGTATTTTATTTGACTAATTTTCACCGTTGCTAGATTCTTATTACTGTTGGGTCGTCAGAAAAGTCAACGCCTATTTGACATCATGACTTCTATGACCTAGCAGGTCTGCTGTTACTGTACGTGCTGTTGTACCTGTGTCTTCAGGTCTGTTTTACCTCTTTCCACATTTCGATCTCTATTAAATACTTACCTGGTGGTTTTCCCGAGACTGGCTTAATGATTTTTTCTCTCATTTTCTATTTTTTTTCTTCGATGCCAGAGGGCACATATGAAAGAGCACCCATGCCCCCCAGCGAGGCTGGTCTACCTTGGTTCTCCCCTCCCCCCTTGGCTCTCCATCCCATCAGGATTCTTAGCAGACTTGCACCCAGCGTGTTTTTCAGGTTGCCGGGGCCAGGACTCGAGCCCCTGGGAACTTGTGGGATCTGGCCTTTTCTGTGCAGCACCTGACCTCTGTACCATGGGGCCAGCCTGCTCCACTTTCTTACATACACATTTGCCTTGTTTTTCTAACCTGCGTGTTAGAAGACACTGGGTTGTCCGAAAAGTCATGATGTGCGTTTTCTGTTTTTCTATGCAAGAAATGGTCATGACTTCTCCGATGACCCGGTATTAGGATGTACACAGAAGCCCATCCTACCTTTCCAGTCTTCACTCGTAGCAGGAACCCTCGTGCCAAACGGTCCCGTCGTCTGTGCATGCCAGGGCTCACTGCGTACCTTCCCACTCCAGGCTTCCTCGGGCTTCTTCCTCTGCCTCCAATGTCACCCACCTCCTGCAGCCTCTGAAACCTTCCTCTCCTTGAAGATGTGGCGTTAATTCTTAACTCTTGGTCCTTTCCTGCCATGCCAGTCTGACTCGCTTCCTCTGCTTGGAGGTGCTTAACTCCATGGTATCTTTCCTTACTATCTTATACCATAAACATTTTTTATTTTTTTTCCTTCTTTTTAAAAAATCTTTTTTATTGCTGGGGGAGTGTGTGCTCATGAGAAAGAGAACCCCCCCAGTGGGGGCTTAGTTTACTGCAGTCCTTTTTCCTCCATCCCGCTGTCCCGGCAGGATTTGGGGCATGCGTGCACACGTGCACCTGCCATCTTAGACATTTTCTTGCTGTGTGTCCTCTTCTGCACAAGACGGATACTCCCAGCCAGATGTTAAGCTGTTGGAGGGTGGTGACTGTGTGTCAGTCCTCGCATGGTCCCCAGTGCAGGACTGCATGTGGGCTCTCAGAGTGTTTTGAATCTATAGATTTTCTTTCTCTAAAATGACTTTGGTTTCAGTGTGAAACAGATAACCCAATTTTATTCTTCTTTTTTAGTATTTCTTACAGGAACTGACAGAATACAAATAAAAGATGTAAAGGACATGAAAATAACATTTTGCTGTCCTGCACACTTGAATGAGAGAGATCCCATAAGAGCACAGACATGTTTTAGTATCCTCTACCTTCCCAAGTACTCCACGATGGAAAGGGTGGAAGAAGCACTTCAGGCTGCCATCAACAACAACAGAGGGTTTGGCTGAGCCCCGTCACGTTCTCGGCCTCTGTTTGGAAGTACTTTTAGGAGCAAATTCAGTAATTCAAAAATGAACATAAAACGTCTTCTTCACTGTTCAGTGTGTTTGCCTACTCTTTTAGAATTACTGCATGTAAGATGTATCAGTAATGATACAGAAAAGGCTTTATTTCTCTCTTTTTTTAGGTTCTTGCCATAGGGTGCGTGTGCACACTGGGGAGAGACAAGAAACAGGGAGAGGAAAGGTGAGCAGTTACCCTGCCTCTCCCCAGGGAGGATGGCCATGCTGCAGTCCTTTCTCCATTCTCTTGGGATTTGGGGCATGCATGCATATACGCCCGGCATGATTTTCAAGCCACCAGGCCTGGGGCGCAAACCATTGTCCCTGTGGAGTCCAGGGCCTTAACCTCTAGGCCACCTGTTGCCCTGAGATTGTATTTCTCTTTCTTTTTTTTTTTATTTTTTAAGAATTATTTATTTATTATTATTATTAATATTATTTTTCACATGAGTTTTGCCAGAGAAAGAGAGAGAGGGAGAGTGAGAAAGCAAGCTGCCAGGTCCAGGACTCAAACCATGGCCAGCCATGTGAGAATTCCAGCACCTTCACCACCATGCCACCTGCTGGCCCCCTGAGACTGTATTTATGACCTACATTTGTATCTTACATTTGTATCTTTTGTCCTACAAGGATATTCTTTAGCTTAGATTTTTTTTAAAGAGAGATTTTTGCTATAGGGTGTGTGTGTGCTCACCAGAGACAGACAGAAAGCGAGAAATCACCCCCAGTGCGGATGGCCACGCTGCAGTCTCTCCTCGTTTCCTCTCAGGGTTTTGGGCACACACACATGCACCTGGCATGAGTTTCAAGCCTCCGGATCCAGGGACTACATAAAAGTCTAGTGACAACCCTTACACCCTCTGCTGGTCCTGATTTTTTTTTTTTTTTTTTAAAAGCTCATGTTTGACGCAGCTTACTTTTAATCTCCTTTTTTTTTTTCACATGAGTTTTGCCAGAGAAAGATAGAGAGAGAGGGAGAGTGAGAAAGCAAGCTGCCAGGTCCAGGACTCAAACCATGGCCAACCATGTGGGAATTCCAGCACCTTAACCACCATGCCACCTGCTGGCCCCCTGAGACTGTATTTATGACATACATAGATCCTATGTGGTGGCAGTGGCATTTCAACAATTAACCGTAAATTTCCCAGCCTCCTTAAAGGTAGGGACAGATAGAGAATGTGAACATCACTAGGAGAAACTTTTGAGGAAGCTTTTTGAAGAGATCCTTTTTGCTTGCTTTATTCTTGTCTGTAACAGGCATGACAGAGCTTCAGCTTCTATTTTCTGATCATTAGGGAAACGCCAAGAGCAGAAATCTTGTCCCTAAATTTATTTTTAACATCTATTCATTTTAGTTATTTGTTGTGATTTTCAAGCTGCTGGGTCTGGGACTTGAACTGCAGTTAGCCATGTAGGAATCTAGTGCCTTAATCACCCTGCCACTTCCTGGCCTGTTCCTAAAATTCTTAACCTTGATGGTCACATGCTACCTAACATACTACCTAAAACTGTACATTTTGTGATGGGAGTTCATTTTTTTATGATAAAGTCTGTTAACGGTATTCTTTACTGATACAAATACAAAGAATTAAAAGTGATAGTGTAGGGCTATCAGGTGGCGTGGTGGCTAAAGCACTGGATCCCACGTTGCCAACTCAGCGGTTCGAGTCCTGGCAGCTTGAAAAACGTGTGTGCATGAATGCCCCAAATTCTGGGAGAAGGATGGAGGAGGAAGGATTACAGCAGATTTCTTACTTTACCTCTCTCTGCCAAGCACATATACCCTACAGCAAAATAAATAAATAAATAAATAAAATTCTAAATTCTCTTTTGTTGTAGATTTCCCCTTTCTCTGCTTCCCACCTGCACCGTCCCCCTCCCACCCTGCAGTTTTGTGTTTTCTGGGAAGACCAGCTATGGTGCTTACCAGCTGCACAAATGTGGAGCCCTGATTGCTTAGCACCATCGGATGGGTCCCCAGACCCGCGTACAGCCTCAGCTGCATCGCCCCCAGGGCCCTGTGTTTGCCGTGGCCTTCGTGTTTACTATTTCCATTTCTTGAATGCTCACGTCTCCTGTTTTCACACCTTTTACTTCCGCCGGGAACCCTTCCCATTCCGTTTCCAGCCTTTCATTGCCTCTTTCAGTTCTTTCTCTCCCTCAGTAAGTTATTCCCACTTACGTTTTAGGGTTCACATCAGCTGTCATGGCATTCCGGGAGACGTCTAGTAGATGTCCGTGGGGTATGGCTGCCAATCACAGCATTTCACCAAGTGCAGTCCACTTTTTGAGTTCTTCGTTGCCATTGTTCCCTGAGTTAGAAGTGCCACCTAGTGGCACATGCAGGACACTGCAAACACCTCCACGTGGGCCGTTTCAGTAAGGGACACAACTTGGAAAAGTGGATGGGCCTTTCTCCCCAGCACTAAGCTTAGTCGTGAGGATCAACTATGGCTGTGGGCAGTGCCAGGTAAGGTCATGGTCTTCTGCTTCCCTTGAAACTCCCACCTGGTCTGGAATAGGTATCATTTCCATCTTGCAGATGCAACCTGAAGTTCAAGGGACCTCCTTGAAAGCCCCTTTGCAGGAATGGAAGAAAATAAAGAGGGAGGTCATGACTGATCCTCTTCCCTCAGTAAGAAGTTCTCATTTATCACTTAAGAGTGGTGGGAAGGATCTTATTCATGAGGTGGTTGAAGATGACCTCTGTCAGTGATGCAGTTGAGGACATGCAAGAAGATGGTTTTTGTTTTATTTATTTATTATTTTTTTTTTTTTTTAAGAATTTTGTCATAGGGTGTGTGTGCTTGCTGGAGAGAGAATGAAAGTGAGAAATCATTCCCCAGGGTGATGACCTTGTTGCAGTCCCTTCTCCTGGGATGTTAAGCATGCACTCACATGCACCCCATGTGATTTTTAAGCCTCCAGGTCCAGGACTTTAACCTCCAGGTTGGCCATGTGGGAGCCCAGTCCCTTAATCACTGTGCCACCTGCTGGTCCCAGAAGATGATCTCTTAAAGGACTCTAAGGGTACCCAGGCATCATGAAGTCAGCCCACTACTGAGGAAGAAAGTGGGGAAGAGTTCCAGTTAGTGAAGGATAAGACAGACTTCCTCATGGAGGACTTCCAGTGCAGAGGTGGGAGGGAGTGGGGCCAGTGTCGTGGTGTGTGGCACGAGCTGTCATGGGAAGCCCGTAGAGATGGGAGGATATTCCTGTGAATTCAGGTTACAACCTAGTATCTTCTGCTCGCTCTACACACAGCTTTGCTCACACCTGCTCCCTAGGTGCTGTCAATAGCTGATGTGCTGTCCGTTATCGGCCCCAAATACAGCAGAGTACAGTTTTGACAGTTGCTCTGCCCATCAGTTCAGATAGGAAGCTGCAATGATTTGCTGAAGAAGGACTTGTTAAAGAATCCCCAGGAAATAGTGTAGCATCTGAAAGGGTCGTTGAAAGTAGCACATGTGATAGACAAAATTTAGAAAGCTTAAGTGAGGCCTGCATTCCACTTTGGGCCACACCTCCAACCCTAAAGTGACTTGGAACCACTGAGCCTCAGGCTGGGCATTTAGGCATGCCCCCCACCATAGTAGCTTTATTGAGATAAAATCCACACCGCCTTCAATTCAGCCTTATAAAGTGTACAGCTTGATGGTGTTTCTAGTATATTCACAGAATTGTGGAACTATTATAATACATTTTAGAATACTCAAAGAGACACCTGATTTTGTACCTTCAGCCATAACTCCACAATCTCCCCTTTCTTGTAGCCTAGGCAACTACTAATGCAGGGTCTGTTTCTATAGATGTGCCATATTGGATGTTTGATATAAAATACAAACAATATGTGCTCTTTTGGAACTAGCTTCTTTTTGCTTAGCAAAATGTTTCCAAGGTCCATCCATGTTGTTGCATATATCCACACATACTTCATTCCTTTTTATTGCCAAATAGTTCATTGTATTCCTACCTCATTTTCATGGATATTTGGGTTGCTTCTACTTTTTGGCCGTTAAGGATGACACTGTGGGGCCAGCAGGTGGCGTGGCGGTTAAGGGCACTGGACTCCCACACGGCCAACCCTGGTTTGAGTCACAGACCTGGCGGCTTGCTTTCTCACTTTCCTTCTCTTTCTCTCTCTCTGTCCCTCTCTGGTCAAATTAAAATAAATAAACTAAAATAATTCTTAAAAATTAAAAAGATGCTGTGGGACCAGCAGATGGCGTAGTGGTTATGTTGCTGGACCCCCACATGGCCAACCGCGGTTTGAGTCTTGGAACTGGTGAGGTAAAAATCATGCCGGGCATGTGTACCTGTGTGTCCAAGGTCCCAGTAGAACAAAGAAGGGACTGCGACATGGCCATCACCCCCGGGCGATGATTTCTCACTTTCCCTCTCGGTTTCTGTCTCTCTCCTGCGAGTGCACACACCCTAAGGCAAAAACCTCTAGGGGGAAAAAAAATGCTGCTGTTAATAGTCATGCAAGTTACTGTGTAGACATGAATTTTCACTTATCTCAAGAATGCACCCAGGAATGAAAAGGCTGGACCCTGCTGTTTTCCAAAGACGTTGTAGCACTTTACATTCTAACCGGCAGTATGTGAGGGCTACAGGATATTTTAAAACCTCTCATCTGGGGAACCAGCAGTTAGCGTAATGGCTATGTTGCTGGACTCCCACGTAGTCGACTGCGGTTTGTGTCCCGGACCCGGTGGCTTAAAACTCACACCGGGCGCGTGTGCGTGCGTGCCCAAGATCCCGAGATAATGGAGGAGAAGGGACTGCGGCGTGACCATCCCCCCTGGGGGGTGATTTCTTGCTTTCTGTCTCTATGTCTCTCTCTGTCTGTCTGGTGAGCGCACGCGCCCTACAGTGAAAATCTCTCAAAAAAAAAAAAAAAACTCTCATCTGTTCCTAGAGTGCCAGTAAGATACAAGAACATTACTTTTATATAGCTCTATTCCTTTTTCTGTTTCTGTGATTATTCTTACGCATATCACATTTGTGTGAGGTAAACCCAACACTTGTTAAAGT